ATTAATTAATATAATTAATTACATCTCATATGATTTTTCTAATTTTTCTGTAGTTTGGTATGCTTCAGGAACCATTGTGAGACCTACGGAGGCAATGTGAGGACATTCAAATCTTATACAACTCCCACATCCCTTTCCCTTTCCCTTTAAGATTCATTTTTGTATAAGTAGAGTTCTAAATTAAATTTCTAATCCTTTATGTAGAGAGGTTGTGTTGTACTATGTTTCTGATATTCAGGTTATGTTATGCCATAGTTCTGATTGAAAGTTTGTGTGTCATGCTATATTTCTGATATCTGGTTGTGTGTCATGCTATATTTCTGATATTTGGTTGTGTTATGTTATATTTCTGATATCTGGTTGTGTGTTATACTATATTTCTGATATTTGGGTTGTGTTATGTTATATTTCTGATATTTAGCTTGTGTTATGCTATATTTCTGATTGGTATGTTATATACCCCACCTCCCCTGGTTTTATACACATATATTATGATGTATAAAAAAGAATTAGAATTCTGATAGTGTAGGATTTCCAAAATTTATTTTAGGAACTCTTGTGGACTACTGATGGAAAGCAGTCATATGTCATTTTCTTGTTTCTTCATTACAAATAGATATTTATCTAGAATTGATATTAACCTTTAGATATTTTATAGGTAAGACGAATTAGATTTTCAGTTAGGTAGCCTCTTCTTAAACTGAGTAAGGTTTATGTTTGAGGAATATACTTGTAAGTTGAGATCTTGGTACCTAAGTTAGGAATTAATATGTAAGCAGGGACAAACACTACAATGCTGGGCACATTAGTATTTAAGTAATACTAATAATAACATTTTCAATTAGATAGTATTGTGTAATTATCCATAAAGTAAAGTATGCAAGTAAAAGTAATTATCCACATTCGTAATTAAGTTTATATATAATTAACGATAAGTAATATTAATTAGTATTAAGTTAGTGAAATAAATTTATTTCTTTGCGAGACGTTTCATTTCTTCCGGTGTTGGTTTTTCTTTTTTAATTTTTTAATTACCGATTATTCTACATTTTCAGGGCCAGAAACATGTAAAGTCTCGTTGCATGAACGAAACGTTGTCACTTTTTTGTTTAGACGTCCTAATTATCTATATTTCGTACTAATGAAAATGTAAAATATCGATACAGGAATGAAATAACGTCTCACATAGTTAAACTGTGTGTTAACACTTAGTTTAAGGCATAACATACCTTTTATTTCTAGGTTCAGTTTGAGGTCAAATTTATCTTTTATTTTCAAGCTTAGTTCGAGGCCAAATTTATCTTTTATTTCCAGGTTTAGCTTTTCGCGTCGATTTTTCTTTCAAATCCTTTTCGTTATTTTTTTGCACAGCGATCAAAGATTGAACGTTTTGCAAACATGCATGAAAAGGGGAATTTATTCGAATGTTGGTAAATTTTTACGCGAATGGAGGGAGGATGGGCCGTGGATAGGGTGGGTCTCCATTCGCAGCACCTCCTCGTGGTGAGACCTGGGCAATCGGTATTATTTGACATATAATTTCTAATTGTATCACTATAGTTATGCCATATATAGCTCATAGCTATGATACAATTATGAATGATATAGCAAGTAGTATGAGCTAATTGGCTGCGATCCTAACATTGTAGATTTTCATCTGTTAAATTAGTTAGAAGAGATCGATTAGGGATCTTCTTGTAATTTATGTTCTTTAGACTTTAGACGTAATTTATATCGGTATATCGATTAAAACAGCGTTCTTCGAAGTTCATACCTTGTTTCTAACAAAGGTTGCGTTTACAAAGGTTAATAAAGGTAGCTCGTTGATTAGTCGAGGGACAGCACTTCGTAAATTTCATTTTGAACTAAATATTTCTTAGAATTTCCAGGAATCTTTCAGTTCGTTTTGGACTAATTGTAAGAGAAAAGTCGAAACAATGCGTATTCGTTATGGCCTTGAAGCTGGCTTGTGTAGTTCGTTGCCTAGGTATGCTCTATCAAGTATTATAAAAGTATTAGTATATGTAATTTATTATTATAAAGGGTTCGCGAATCTTTGGAAAATCGGTTGAGTCCATAAATTTTCGTTTGACCTCGGTAAGGTTACCCTTGGTCTATATAGGCACCTGACAGTCCCAGCATACGATTAGTTGCTCTTCGGCATTCGTGACGTATACATCGATACTTAAATCGCGTAAATAAATATAAATGAAATAAACAAACCAATTAACAGTTTTTAAGGAGTCTTGGAATATATTTGTTTTATTAATTATTATTTAATATAATAATTAATTTTTATTAACAATTTTTTTAATAATTTCATAATTAATTATTTGTTTAATAATTATTTTTCAATAACTTGATTTATTATTTGTTTAATTTATTTATTTACTTAAAAGTTTTTTAATTTATTTCAATATCTTATTTGTTTATTTTTTATTTTTAATAATTAATTTTGTTTATTTATTTATTTACTTTTAATTTGTAATCATTAATCATTTATTTCGTACATTTGCTTATTTATCTTAACTTTTTAGTAATTTATTTATTCTGATTATTTATTTTGAATTTTGAATTATTCATTTAATTATTTCATTTATATTTTGCTTCTAATTATCTCTTTAATACGTGAAGTAAATAATTCGTTTTATTTTTTTAAATTCATTAGCGTTTTTGAGCATTAAATATTTTTATAAGAGTTGAATTAATACCGCATATCTACTAAATCGATTTTGTTCATACGATTTAACACGGGACTTTCTACTCTGTACCTGTCGGAACAAATTCGGACGTGTTTGGGACATCGTGAGTGTGTTCTGAAGGTATTCCAAGTAAAGAAGAAAGAATTACAATCAATGTTGACATCGTTACATTAGCGATGTGGCAAGGGAAGGACACAGGGAAGTTGATGCCAGGAGGAAGGCGGTAGTCGATCCAGAACTTCTTTGGTATGGAGAACAAGTGAACAATCGGTAAGTCTCATGTTTGCAATTTCTCTGGTCATCCATCATGTCGTTGGACGAATGGTCCGAAACGGTACGGGTGACTGGTACTTAATTATTTTCGTAGCGAACATAATAACCACTAGTGTAATGTACATTAGTACTCGTGCAATATATATTTCTGTGATATATTTGTTAGATCAGGTTAGGGTTTTCTTGTACATGACGTATTAGAATCTCGATTGAAAAATTTTTAATTTTTATTCTAAACAGAAATTTAGAAATTTTAGTTGTTCATTTCATTCGAATAGTTTCTAAAATCGAAGAAATAATTCGAATATTTTGAAATTATTAGAGATATACTTTTTCTATTGAAATACACATTTTCTCCCTTTCGTTTCTTCTCCTTATTCTACTTCTTGTTCTTTTTAATTAATGCATACGTCTATCTTGACAAGCATTTTTGTGGAATCATTTGAAAAGTGGAATCACCTCGGCCTTTTGCCTATAGTGAATAAACTAATCTCGATTTTTAGTTAGGATTTTCCATATTTTTCTGAATAAGTTTTATCTCGTGATTTTTTGATTCTTCGATCATTTCAACTGTGACAAACGATGCCAAGCTAGGAGCTAAGCAGTGCTCGGTATTCCAGTTTAGTCTCTGATAGGCTACTTTCTGATAGCTGGTAGACTACCTTCTGGTACCTTATAGGGTACCTTCTGATACCTGGGGAGCTACCTCCTGATACCTGGTATATCTTCTGATACCTGGTATGCTATCTTTTGGTCCCTGGTAGGCTGTCTTTTGGTACCTAGTAGGCTGTCTTTTGGTACCTGGTAGGCTAGTTCTGATACCTGGTAGGCTACCTTCTGGTATTTTGTAGGTTACCTTGTAATGCCTTGTAGGCTACTTTCTGGTACCTTGTAGGCTAGTTTAGAATTGCATGTACTATTTTATTTGTGAGACATCGCTGAACATCATGAAACATCGTGGGAAATCATGGGATAGATGAATAAGTATTAGGTCCTATTAGTTACAGATTAGTTCCTCTTGTTAAGATCCTTGTTACAAGGTAACAGGAACTTAGAATAGGCGAGGTGATCGAATACCTTCTCATGACGGTTGCTCGGCGGCTTATTTTTGAATTTCGATGATCAATTATAGTTATACAGAAGCATATATAATTATAATTATGAATATTGATAAACTCGAGATACTCTAACTTAATTTTGAAGATAAGAATGAACTTTCTAACGTTTTCACTTTTTACGTAATACTTCATTTTATCTAAAAATCGTTGCTTTTTACGAAAAACTCACACTTTTCGGAAATTGAGAGTGACAGGGCAATTTCGATTACGGATTCGTGCTCAAGAAACTAAACTCTACAAGATTCACCTACCGGATATTATAGATCAGAGGAAAAGTTAAAATTTGTTGGACATTGTAACTTGCTGTAAACACAAAGGAGAAAGACGTGTTTTAAGTGAAAATACGGCTTTTTATCATTACTCGCAACCTGATTCGAATAAATAAAATGAAAGAAATTCATAAATTATTACGCGAAATATACGTTATATAAAAGCTTCGAGATAACCTTCACGTTGCTAAACCAAATAAATGGGAACGATTTTTAAAACATTTCGAGAGAACCGATCCTCTTTCACAATGAAATCGAAATCAAATGTATTCAAGAATTGAAACACGAATACATCTTCTATCCCCGCATAAAATGTTCTAACAATTTTAGAACGAACAATTCTTCAAATCTCGTATGAAAAGAATTCATAGTAACACGAATATTTAACGGACAGTATTGGCCTATTAAATTCAAACCTCGGCTAAACATCTTTCTACAAAATCTTCCAGACCCACGGATTCTGAACAACACGAGACCAGGATAAAACCGAAAGATTAATGGAATCACGCATACACAAACCGAGAATCGCATGAATCGTTAGAAGAGTCAAACAATGGCCAGAAGAATGACGGACGTGAACTGTAAACCGTCCGATTGGTTGAAGGGCATGTGCGCATGCGCGGCGGCAACCACCGCTCACTCGCCGGCCAGCAGACGAACGTTTGTTTTTCTCGCGCTTCGGCGACTATTCGGGAAATATCCGCGGTCACGGAGGTCTACTGCGAGCATTCGAGAATAACACTCGTGGAAACGTCCGATCTTTTCCACGCCGGTTCTCCCACCGCCGCGTGTTTCTCTACGTTAACGCGTGCCGTCGACACCGAGAGCAGTGAGTCAGTGGTGCGCGGGCCTTCGTGGCGCGAGGACGTGCGCCCTGCTCAATCTTGCCGCTTTGTGGACGCGCGTGCTCGTTCATTTACCTCGTGTGAGTGCGTGTAATCACAGAAAAAAGTACTCTCATTGCGAATGGTCTCCAAAAATCCCACTTATCCACCGCGATAGACGATCTTGGACTAATTTTATCATTCTCTTATGGTCTCTTCGATCGTGTCGAGAAGATCTATGGCTAGATCAACTATGTCTCTTCGTTGGCTAGGGGTAAGCAGTTTTTATTTTACATTTATCGAGATTTTTCGTTGGCTTTGAATTAGAATATTAAATGGATATAGTGATATTCGAAACACTTGTTATTGAAATTCAGGGATTGACAGTTAGGGATTATTTGGGGATCTGTGACGATCTATAGAGTGTCTTAAAGAGATTATCGAAGTGGGTAAAAGTGTGTGAACACAATTGTAACGATCGATATTAGTCAGACATCGAATTTGAGGTATCCTTATCCTTTAGGAATTTGGACTGTCTCGAGGGTGTTGCTGTGCTAGCTAAAGCTGTCCAGGCAATCGTAATGACGGTTAACAGCGTTATAAATATTACAGAAGATCAAGGGAAGCCAAGAAAGACGAGATGACTTTGCTATTTTCTCGATTTCGAATTTTAAACTATTTTGTAATTCATCTTACCTATATCGAATTTATTTTATATTATTTTATTTCTATCCAATAATTTCGCAAGTCGTTATTTTATTTCGTCAACTCCTTTCTTTCTACGTTCTAAATTCTAAATTACAAATGTACCAAATTCGTGAAATATTTTTTTCCAATTTTGAAACACGGTAACGTGATTCGGCATAGAGTCATCTATTTTAATTGTAAAAATTTTCCTTCGCCATCAGGCCATATAGTTTCACGATTTATTTAAATTCCGACGAATTTCAGATTTGTTTACGTCTTTGCTAATGCAGTCCGGGTTTCTGCTTGTTGTTCTGGCTACTGTGGTCTGTTACAATTTCTAGCCAGCTGGTTTGACACTGACAAATACAAGGAGAGAAATTGGAGGTTCTCCAACCTCTGCCTAGTCGCTATTAATTACTTATTCACGAGTCTGCCGATCGTGTGCGTAACACACGAGGTAAAGGTTGGAGAAAAATTTGATTCGAAATCGAAAGAGCATCCTCTTTTGTATTCGGGCCAGTGTTGTTATTCAATTTCAGCTACAGCAGATTTCCATCTTTCCTTCCGACCTTCTTCCAGTTGACATTGTTCCTGTCTTTGGTGGTCTTCTTTATATCCACGGAATAACAAAACAGATATCCTCATTCCTAGGACTGCAACAGCTCTTTTTCTTTTTCCTTTTGGCATAAAATAAAACTTACATCTTCATCTTCCCCGAACCCGTCATTCACGGTTCCTTACTTCGAACAACAAGTGAAAAGTTTGTTTTTAAAACGCAAAAACGTCTTTGTTTTCGGCTGAAAAATAATGTTAGAGCTGCGTCCTCCATTGTCAGAGCGAAAGCAGTATTTACCTCCTCTTCCCTGGACTGGACTTTTAGTCAGTTTCATAACACGCTCTTATTCGTTTCTCATCAAGCGAAAGCGAATTTATCCGATTAAATGCATCCTCTGTGTTAGGCAGAGTCCTTTTGAAATCGAAAATTAATCCGAAAAACCGTATTAGAAACTACACCTTACGCCTGGAGAGCACGCAGACACAGGCTGGCGTGTGAATTTGCCACAAAGTAGCATGGGGATAATCTCATATTGGTTCTCTTGATCGTAACCGACAAGGTTTCTTGAAACGAGCTATAGACCTAGATCAAACACGCGCGGAGCTTTGCTTCTTTAGATTAACCTAAGGTAAAAAGCCACTTGCCATTATCCAGCAGAGATGCTATACCTTGTCCCCGTTTTTATCCCTCAAATTTAGTCCTCTTCCTCTACCTGGTCCTTTCTACAGCAATCTCGTTGGATCAACCAGCCGCGATCCTCCATGCCCCAGAGCAAGAGGAATCAATCGAAACGGTTCTCCTATCTCTCCTTTCCTGCCTAGTTCGTTCTCCAGTGAAAATAGAGACCTCTCTCTCTCTCTCTCTCTCTCTCTCTTTCACTTCGCCATTTTAATTCCGCCTGTTTGAACCGTGGCATCCAATTACCGGCGTTGCTGATAAGAAACCGGTTGTTTCGTTGAATCGATGAGTTCTGCGAGCACAGCGGATCAGATCGCGGTCGAACGGAGCTGATCTACATGATAATCGGCCCATTTCGGGGCTTCCCTGGAATACCAGAGCCGTATAAATTAATATTTCGAAGTGGAACGGTGAGGAAAACCGACAAGTGTTTTCAGGCGCGGTCGCGTAGATTGTGCGAGACAGGTCTGGCTACCTCCCGCTTGAATATCGTGGATAACGAGTAGCATATCGTCGGCTGAGCATCGTTTTCCTTTAGCGAATGGATATTGCTGGAAATTGACCGGGAAGTTATGGGAAATTGGAATTTTAGCACCGCAAGAATGCGGATGGGCGAGCGTGGTGATAATCATTTCGACCTTCTCCTCTCAATTAAGCCGAGATATTAATGGCATTTAGGCTTGGTTGTTTGTCCACTTGATTATTCAGTCTCTTCTGTACCCTACTGTCCAATTGAACCGGCATGAGCCATTTTTAGAAACGTCAGGTACCATTACGTCGATTGATAAAGTTTGTATAACTTGAAGTTTGAAAGCGAAGTAGCGTAGCACCTAAGCTTCCTATGATCCTGATGTAATATTCAGTATGTCTCCTACTTTCTGTCAGGTATGCCCGATCAAAGTCGACTGTCCTCGGATCCCGCTGGGTATATAGGCGCAATCTGGGATTTCTTTCGAGCTGGGAATCCAATGTCAGTCGAAGTGTAGTAACTTCTTCCGCCTCTGTAGCTCCAAACTGACGCATGAGCTGACAGTAGTCTCTCTGTTTCTAACGATTCGATCGATGTCCCTGTGTTACCTTTCTTATTCCCATATATACCGCTCGGTTTCTCTTCTTCTCGAGACCTGCTTGTCTGCCTGTACATCCTCCGCTAATAGACCAGCAGCTATTTATACGTACACTCGTTCAGAGGCTCACACCGAGTATTTCAACGTTGCCAGTTACAGCTGTCGCCTAAAATTCAGACGTCCCCTCAATCCTTCATCGACCACAGTTTCAAATGCAGACCTAAAGTCTGTATTAATAATAAACGCGGTTCATTGTAACTGACAACATCCCAAATCTCTGTCGAGCCAATCAGTTCCTTGTTAATGTATCCCTCTCGTAACGCGCGTCGCGTAATTGCAGCAATCCGGTTACGTGGAAGAAATTAAGGATCAGGCAGCTTGGAAATTTTCCTTCCTCGAATTCCTGATACAGATACGTGGATGTAACGTGGATGTATAAGTGACAAAAGAAGCCATTAGCATTGCTTCTTTGTGAACAAGTTGCAGCGTCCAAAGAGACCATTTCGGTATCAATTGGAAACGCAACCAGGCGAGGAAAGCTTCAGTCTTGACAGGTAGTTTTGTTAGGCTATTCCACAGAGAGAAAGAACGGTTGTCGAAATGTTCAACTCCATTTCCATTCCCAACACGATACACACAGCCGAACAGCTTTTTCGTGTTTCGTTTTCCCCTTCGTCCTCCTTTTCCCTGCAGCCTTGGCTGTCTCCATCCACGATAGGTTTCAGCCCCAGTCCCCATCGAAATTTCGACACTTTCTGTTGCCATAGGTAGATAGTATTGCTCCACGAAGCTTTTGTGCGGCGAGGAACAGCCGTGGACACGTGTACTGGTTCACAGGGTACTTGGAATCATGCCGTTTATCCGTTTGGTCCTACCGGTTCACGACTGCCAACATTTGTTCGGATCATCCCCCAGTTGCAGTCCTCTGAGGCCAATCCGAACTGATCCCTAGTGGTCCTCTAACTAGGCAAAGACGTTTTTCGTAACTTCAAAGACTTTCTATGCATCAAAAGTATTTTTTCCTCGCTATTTGCTGTCACGCTCGAGCTACTGTGTACTTCGTTCCTTTTCAAATATTTCCTTCCAGAAAGGATAAAAATTTCACCGATATTGTAGTAGGATGCTGTGAGATGATACGCCTTGAGATGACATTTCACCGAATTTTTCTAAATGATTCGACTTAGACTGGAAGAAAAAGTTAAGGTAACGTTAATTAGGTACTTTGATTCCGTTCATGAGCAGGTGCTTGGTAATTGCTTTGTCACGACTGGGATAAAAGTTAAGCCAGTATTTCTCTGATGCACCACAGTCGAGCTATTGGAGTTCGAAATGGTCGGGCGCAAACTAGACTTGTGACAGGCGAGCTTTCGCGTATGTACCGTTTGTCATGCGAGGAAGCGTGTATAATTACCGCATTCTTGGAATAAAATTGCGTACAAAGGGACACGTATTGTCCGTTGCATTATTAATTCACGAGATTTCGATTGGACAAAGCGACCTGTGCAGGATGTACGTTTGTCCACTGACAAAGGTTACTTTTCCTTGGAATGATAGCCATATTTCAACTGTTACCGTTCCGCCATGGCTCTGCCATTAACCACGCGACTTGATTAATTCCTCTCTCCCGATAAATCACGGTGCCTCTTTGGCTAAGTAATTAAGAACTAATCCTGATTTCAGATTAATATCCAGGTGAAATTTGATAAGTCACGATTATCCTGTTAATTGTGAGCGAACATGCAACACTAGCAGGGTTTCATTTGATCCTCGCGGTGTTTCGCGTGTGTCACGACTTATGGCTTCGAAATTAATATTGTAATCTGAAAAAGGCTTTCCGATTCGCATGTCTGACATCTAATCTTTCGATATCGAGGTCGGTCTAGCGGAGAAAATGTAACAACTATTCCCCCAGGAGCGAAATGACTAAACAAGAATCGAAATATCGCGGGAACGTCATTGTTAGACCGAAGCTATAGGCATGCAAACGCTTTTAATTAAGTCCCCAAATGGTTCGACAGCAAGTGTGGAGAATGAAAGCGGTAAACTGCTCTTGGAGTGTAACTTCTAATTAAGAGGCTTTTTTTTATTATTCCCAGTTGAAATTAGGTGAGAGCATATCGAACGTCGGTTCTTATCGTAACCTATATTCTCAATTGCTGAATGATATCAAATGCGAATCATTAAGATGCGAGTAGTCCGCGCGCTTACCAACCTTGGATTTAAAAAGCAGAAAATTACTATATATCCAATGAAACTCTCGTCCCTCTATGGCATTTCGCTTAATTC